CTCCTGCCGACCCTCTTCACCACCTTGGAGGTGAGCCTTCGCATGAAGCAGAACCTGCATTTCACTGAGGCCGCGCTGCATCTGCTCCTTACCCTGGCTCGCACCCAGCAGGTAGGAGGCAAGCCCGCGGGAGCCTCTTTGCTTATGCTGGGTGGGTTCTGATGCTGCCTGTGAGTCTCCCAGCCCAAGACCTCCACCTGCCCTTGGGTGGGGCGGCTGCGGTGACAGCTTCCATCTCATTCTGCATCTTTCCCTCCCAGGGGGCCACAGCAGTGGCTGGAGCCGGCATCACCCAGAGCATTTGTTTGCCCCTCCTGAGTGTGTACCAGCTCAGCACCAATGGGACAGTGCAGGTGAGTGCCAGTGGCCTGCCACTGCCTCCCCCAGCCCCCCTTGGTGCTTTCACTTGCCCCAGAAGTTGCTCTCTTTAGTGGCCTAGTTAATGCACTGATGGTGCAGAATCCTCCCTGCCCCCAGACTGACCTCTAGCAAGAGAAGTTCACACAGTTAGTTAGTGCTGGACGCGGGTCTAGAACCTAGATTCCTGTAACTGCTGCCTTCGGACCCCGTCTGGCCCTGCTGCTGTCCATTCCAGGAGCTTTTCTATTCCGACCAGCCAGGCTGCCTCAGCTGCTGGGCTGCAAGGAGGCCCCGCTCTACCTGTCAGCTGGGTTCCTCGGTGCTGTCGTGATCCTGTCTGTTGTTTGTGTCTCAGACGCCCGGCACCTCTCGGAAGTCGCTGGACGCCCCCTCTTGGCCGGGTGTCTACCGCCTGTCCATGTCCCTGATGGAGCGGCTCCTCAAAACCCTGCGCTACAACTTCCTGACCGAGGCCCTGGACTTCGTGGGGGTTCACCAGGAGCGGGCCTTACAGGTGAGGGGCCGCTGGGATCCTTGGGGTCGGGGCTTGGGGTTCAGGGGCGTCTGGACTGTTCGGGTCTGAGGCTTGGCAGTTGAGCGGTGCCAGTGCTCCCGCTTCTGAGATGCTGTGAGGACTGTTGGCTGACAGGCGGAGCAGTGTGGCTGCCCTGCTGAGGGAGGGGAATGGTCTGGGATCCGCTCAGACAGAAACCTCTTAGTCAGAAACCGCTTCGTCCAGCCCCCTGTTAACGCTGCCCCCTCAGCGTATGTGGACCCAGGACCTCTCCTCCCTGCGGGAGGGCGGGAGCAGGCGTGGTAGGTCCCTGAGTCACCCCATCCTTCCCCGTGTCCCCCCTCCCAGTGCCTCAATGCGGTGAGGACGGTGCAGAGTCTGGCGTGCCTGGAGGAGGCGGACCACACCGTGGGCTTCCTCTTGCAGCTCTCCAGCTTCAGGAAGGAGTGGCACTTCCACCTGCCTCAGCTTATGCGGGACGTCCAGGTGGGGCCTCAGACCTGCTTCTTGAAGGGTCTGGGGAAATGCTCGGAGGGGATGGGGCAGGCAGTGAATCGCAGGCCTGTTCCTGGAATGTGGGCTTTTTCTTTAGGTATCACAGGGTTTGGTTTCACACTGCTCCCCTCTGGAGCCGAATTTTCCCTCCACAGGACAGGGCAGCCTCATAGGTTGAGAAGCTGGGCTCTGTGGGATCGACCTTGGTTCGCATCCCTTAGAACAGGACTTGGGAGCCAGCCGAAGAGGGAGGCAGGGAAAGAACACAGGCTCTGGAGTCAGACAGGCCTGTCATTTGCTGCTTGTGTGAGCTTGGCGAAGTTACTTCATGTCTCTCTAAGCCTTTTTCTTCTTCTGTAAGATGGGAAAATTATCCCCATCTTACTTATTTACTTAGGACCTCATACTGTGCTTGGCATCTAGCTGGGTCCCAGGGAAACCGTCCAGGCATCTGTTGACCCACAGTTTGCAGTCGAGCGTGCTTGGTGGCGTGAGATTTTGAGCTAGAGAATGTAGGGAGGGGCTCAGGGGGCCGGAGAAGTACGTTGTTACCATAGAGACCTGCATGGTCGGTCTAGTTGGTTGGGCTGCTGCCTCGAGGCTCCCCCTCACCCCTCCCCTGGGTTTGTTGCAGGTAAACCTGGGCTACCTGTGCCAGGCCTGTACCTCCCTCCTGCACAGCCGCAAGATGCTGCAGCACTACCTGCAGGTAACTGAGCCCTTGTCCGCGGCTGCTGCCTGGACCGCCTCACCCCTGGCTTCCGTGGGCTCCAGCCATCTCTTGTCTCCTCCCCAGAACAAAAACGGGGAGGGCATCCCCTCGGCTGTCGCCCCCCGAGCTCAGCGGCCACCCACAGCTGCCCCCTCCTGCTCCTCCTCCAAGCAGCCCACTCCTGACACAGAGGCCTCAGAGCAGCGGGCCTTGCACACCGTCCAGTACGGGCTCCTCAAGATCCTCAGCAGGACCCTGGCGGCCCTGCGCCACTTCACCCCCGACGTGTGCCAGATCCTGCTGGATCAGGTACCAGCCACCTGTGCCACCCGCCTCCAGTGGAGCCGTGAAGGCTCTGCTGTGCCCTGCTCTGCACCAAGAGCTGCCTGGGCCCTCTGGGGCCCTACATCGCTCTCGTCTTGCCTTGCCTTGCAGTCCCTGGACCTTGCTGAATACGACTTCCTGTTTGCCCTGAGCTTCACCACTCCCACCTTTGACTCCGAAGTGGCCCCCTCTTTTGGGACCCTTCTGGCCACAGTGAATGTGGCCCTAAACATGCTTGGTGAGGTAAGTTGGCCCCTCAACCCAAGTCTTCCCGTGGGCACGTTTATCTAGCCTTCCCTTCATCAAGTGAGTGTGATAGAGCCGACCTGTAAGAATTAGCGTGAAACTTAAATGAATAACTGATGAAATAGCTTAATGTAGGCCCTGCAAAATGGAAGCTCTCAATGAGTTGGAGCTGTTACTGTTACCTTATTTTTTTAACCCCCATTTCTTTTTCTCCAGCTGGACAAGAAAAAGGAGCCTCTCACACAGGCAGTGGGGCTCAGCACACAAGCAGAAGGGAGCAGAACACTGAAGTAAGAAAGCCTCCTTCCGGGATTGGTTTGGGGCTGGGGCAGTCTTGGGCTGGCTCTTCTCTTGGCGCAGTGGCCCACCACACACTGCCAGCTTGGCCCTCCCTGCAGCAGCGTCCAACCTGCCCTCTTCCAGGTCCCTCCTGATGTTTACCATGGAGAACTGCTTCTACCTGCTCATCTCCCAGGCAATGCGTTACCTTAGGGACCCGGCTGTGCACCCCCGGGACAAGCAGCGGATGAAGCAGGAGCTCAGCTCAGAGTTGGTAGGATGGGTAGGGGGCCCTGCCTGGTGGGGCAGGGCCACTGGGGAGGGGCCCCAGGAGGTCCCAGTCCCCCACTTCCTGTGGCCAGCCCTGAGGGTGGGGGACGCGGGGCCTCATCAGGTGCTTTTTCTCTTGCAGAGCACTCTGCTCTCCAGCCTCTCACGCTACTTCCGCCGGGGAGCCCCCAGCTCCCCTGCTGCTGGCATCCTTCCCTCACCTCAGGGCAAGTCCACCTCTCTCTCCAAGGTCAGCCCTGAGAGTCAGGAGCCTCTGATTCAGCTAGTGCAGGCCTTTGTCCGGCACGTGCAAAGATAGGGCCTCGGGCCCGCTGCCACTCTCCACCAGCCTGCATGGGAGCCCTGGGCAGTAGGGGTGCTGCTGGCCTGAGGGGCCTGTCTGGGGCTGAGAGCAGCTCCTGTCACCCTCCCCAGAGTAGCCACGACTCCAGCCACCAGCCCCCAGCATTATTTTTGTAATAGATCAAGAGGTCAACAGCGGGGAGCCACGAGTCTGCTGCGCTCACAGTCTCATGTTCAGAATGCCCCCAAGAGGTGTATTCCTTTCCTTCAAGCATTCCCCACAGCACTTGACCCTGGCCCCGGGGAGAGATGGGGGAGCCAGTGTCACGTGCAACCAGGAGAGGCTGTACGCACGGGTTTGAGAATCTGTTTTCCACGCTCTGTTCTTGCAGTTTTGGGTAATATTGTGGTCTATTTATACAAATATTAAAATACTGTTTATACACAACCGTGTGGGGTGTACCTTCAAAGCCCAAGGACTAGCCAGCTCTCAGAGCATCGAACCGCCTCCCTCGGCCGAGGGCCCAGAGTGGAGTGGAGGTTTGGGGAAGGCGAGATAGCCACCACTGACCTAACGAACATTCCTCCGTTCACGTCTTGGTGTTGGGGGTGCTGGGTGGGCGCTCAGATTCCGCCCCCCCCGACCCCTACCACGCACCTCCACTTACAGCTGGCTGAGCTCACCACCGGCTAGAGCCTTCCTTGAAGCTCTGCTCCTGTTTATAGCTCTGTGCCTCCCCCTCCCTTCAGAAGGCCCGCCAGTGGGGCCCACCAGCCTCCAGCCTCTAGCCTCCTTGGGACCTAATCACAGAGTTCTGGGCCCGGCTACAGGCCTTAATCTAAAACTGGCTTGTAGCCCAGAGCTACCACTTGAAGTTTCTGGAACCAGACTGACTTGGGCTAGAGTCCCTGCGTGGCCACTTGCCAGTTATGGAACGTTGCGGAGGTGACTTTCTGATCTCTTCTTCCCTCATCTGCGAGGACGACACGAGAATACACGTGAACGTGCTTGGCTCAGTGCCGGGCCCCTGGGAAGCACTGTCAGCCGGCAATTACTCGAGCTTAAACTATCGTGCAAATTTTACAGTCCCCTCTACCCGATTTTAGGCAAGTCTTTCTTAGGAATAAAACATCTATTATGCAGCTTCCTGGGACTTCCCTGGTGGTGCAGTGGTTAGGACCCTGCGCTTCCACTGCAGGGGGCCTGGGTTCAACCCCTGGCTGGGGAACTAAGATCCTGCAAGCTGCACGGCGTGGCCCAAACAAAACCCCCCCCCCCCCCCCCCCCCCAAAAAAAACGTAATTATGCAGCTGCAGTAGGAGAACAGCACTCCCTCCTGAGCAGCACAGGCAGCGTGGGAGGAAGGGAGGTACTGGCTTTGCCCTAAGAGCTCTCCCTCCCTCTGCCCTAGTGCTTCTGGGAGGGGTGGTGCAGATGTGAAGTCTCCCCTTTCCCACCTGTGAGGCCCGCGACCCGACCGGAGCCCAGGCAACATGCACACGAAGGATGGTTTATTATTTGTCACTGGCTAGAGAGCAAGCAGACAGGCAGAGTAAAAAGATCAGTTAAAAAGTGAGTGTGGAGAGGTGCAGGCTGCAGCCACCATACTTGGCTTGAGCTGTATGAGGGGAAGGGTAGCACCGGGGAGATGCCGCTCCGTGGCCCAGGCTCCCCTCTGCTCCAGCTCATCCAGAGGGGACGAATCCGGTCCTCAGGCCTCCACACACCTGCCTGCCTTTCCCCCTTTGCTGCTTTTGGCAACTAAAAGGCAGGAGCTCCCTCCCCCAGGGTGCGCCCCAGGGCTTCCTCAGGCCTTCTGCACTGACCCCCACGGGCCTAGGCGCTGAGTGCAGCTGCTGCAGCCAGGCCCTCCCTCCTTAGCAGGAGCCGGGAGGGCTGGGACGCTCAGAGATGCAGGCAGGGGCGTGGGGGGGAATCTCCAGAAGCAGGGCTGGGGGAGGGGCCGGGATCATTCAGCTTCTGGGGCCCCTCGCAGCTGGAGGACCAGGGGCGGGATGGGATGGGGTTACTTTCCCCACCCTGAGCAGCTGGGTCACCAACAGACAAGACAAGTGGCAGGGCTGCACCCATCCTCTCCTGCCCAGGCCAGAATGGGCAGGGGCCTGGGAGGGGGCCTGCTTAGCTAAGCAGTTCCAAGTAGGTGACAGGGACCTTGCCCTTCTTGTTGCCTCTCTCGCCAATGAGCCAGTCAGGGTCCATGCCAGGCAGGCTGTAGACAGTGATGAGCTGGGGAGGGCGGAGAAGGAGGGTCACGCCCCGGCCAGGCAGAACTGGCCCCAGCCCTAAGGGGGAACAGACTTGCGGTCTCCCCTGATACATAGGAAACGACACCTCCTGAGCTGCTCACCTCCTCAGCTGCTCTACAGAGACAGATCAGAGAGGCTGCTTCCTCAGAGCTGGAGCCGTCTCTGCCTACCCGACCAGCCCCAGCTCTACCCGCAGGGCCACTCGGAGGCTGGAAGCCCGCGGTGCAGGGTCTGCAGGCCCCATGCCCCCAGCTCCAGTTTCCCGGTGCCCGTGAGCTGGCCCTCCCCCCGTCCTCGTGGCCCCCAGGCCTACCTCGTCAGCCAGCAGGGCCAGCTCGCTGCTGTCGGCCGCCTCGTAGTCATAGAGGACCCGGGCCTTCCGGGTCCCGCTGGCAGGAGGCGCCACCTCCTCCAGGCGGAGAGCGGCCTCCCCCGGAGGAGCCAGGCTGGCCACAGAGGGCCCCCCAGGCATAGTGGCCGCGGCGGTGGTGGGCGAGGTGCTGCTGAGGGGCGGGGAAGTGGGCTCTGTGGTGCCCACGAAGGTGCCTGGAAATCTGGAGAGGAGAGCGGGGGCACACCTCAGCAGCCGGGAGCCACACACCCCCGGGAGTCCCGTGTGCCCCGCCAAACACCAGCTAGGTCCACGGCCGCGGAGGCGAGGAGACCCCGCTACTTACATGGCTCCCTGGGAGCTGGCGGCATGAAAGGAAGAGGGAAACGGGGAATGTGAGATGCTCCCGCCATCCCCGCCACCCCCCACCCCACACAGTCTCAAGAAACCGCGCCAGAGGTCCCCAAGGCCAGCCACCTCGCTGTCATTGTGAGAGGGTGCCCGGGCCCAGAGAGCAGTGTGATGTCCCACCACAGTTGGCAGCCCTCCACCCCGCCCTGGGTGTCACGGGGCTTTCCGAGCTTGGGGCGGTCGGGGCTGGGAGCCAGGGGACCCCGGTGGGCACCTGCCCAGCTGTTTCTGTAGGTCCAGCATGTGGCGGTAGCACTGGGCATAGTAAGTGGTCTGAGACTCAACGAACTCATGGAGGCAGCGAAGGTGGTTCACCTGCGGGGAAGACGCCCATGGCTGACGGGGGGGATGCGAGGGGCCAAAACATCCCATTCCCCATCCTGTCCTCTGCAGACCCTGGCCCGGCATTCTGATGTCTTCTGCCCAGGCCACTTGCTCCCTGGGGTTGGAGGGAGGTACCCACCCTTTGGGACCTGCTCTGCCGAGGCTGAATCCCATCCTTACAGACTGCGGGCTCAAGCACACCCTTCCCCACCTGCCTTCGAGATCCAGGTTCACTCGCTGCCTCAATATGGACTAGTTTCATGGGGACACAAGGGGCGGCAAGAAGACGGTGGACGACAGAAGGAGGAAACGGGGGCAGGACTCACGTGCGTGCTACTGATTCCCTCCAGCAGGAGCCGGGTCACTTCTGCCTGCCGGTCAAACTCTGTCTGGGCCACTCGGAGCTCCTGCTCAGCCTGGGAAGGGTGGGGCATGAGCGCGAGAACAAGAACAGCCCCCCAGTTTCCCTCCCACCGCCTTCTCCCGCGCCCCTGAAGCCGCCCAGGGGCGGCCTCTTCTTCCCTTCTGTGGCAGCTGTCACTTCCCCCCGGGGATGCAGACATCGGTGGCAGGAGTGCACTTCCCACCCCTGACTTCAAGCCTGAAGCCCTGACCACTGGAGGAGCCCCGCTTGGACCCCACCCCCTCCTGAGGCCAGTTCCTGGACAAGCAGACAGAGCCTCGGGCGCCCTGCCTTGGCCTTTCATATTCATTTGCCCATCTGACGCCATCACGCATCAGGGACAAATCCAACCAACAGTTGCCTCTGGAGGGCCCACTGTGTGCAACAGGGCAGAGGTGAAGTGACAACCCCTACTGTGGCCCCAGAGAGTGAGGGCAGAGCCCAGAACTAGAAACAGACCTGCCCCTGACGGCAGCAGGTGAGCCTGGACTCCCGTTGCCCACCCCCTGCAGCCTCTTCCCTGAGCCCCGACTTACCTTGTCCACCTCATCATTCCAGAGCTGCGGAGACCACAAGAGGACAGGTCAGCGGGGGAGGGAGGGGGGCACCGGTCAGCAGGGGAGGGGAGGACGGCTGAACCCCAGAGCCCAGGCCCTGCCCCAGCTCCCTGAGACCCCAACCTCTCCCCAACTCCCTCCCCACAGCCCAACGAGGGGCTGAGGCTGGGGTGAGGCCTGGTGTGAAAGGGGGGGCTCCGACATCATAGTCCGTCTAGTCCCACATGCCACATGCGGGGAGGGGGGACAGCCAGCTGGGGAGTCCTACTTGGGTTTCTCCTACAGTGCCAGTCCCCAGGCTCTGACTGGGGTCTCAAGGGAGATTGAGTGTCCCGCACCCCACCCTGACACTTGGCTAAGGCTGGTGGGCTGGGAGGCAGGACTGTGTGACCCTGGACCAGTCACTGAACCTTTCTGTCCTTCGGCAGAGAAAGGCAGCCTCGTGCCCGAGTCACACTGGGGTTCAAAGGCACAAGGAAAAAACAGGGCCGTCTCCACCCTCCTGGATACTCCTCTTTCCACTCGGCCCAGGAAGGGGGGCGGGAAGTGTCATCCAGAGTCTAAAGAAGAAAGACCCCCCTCCCCCCCCCCACGGCTTAGGAGACCCATTTCTCCTGCCCGCTGCTACCCTACGATGTGACCTGAAATGCGGAAAGCAAAACAAGGCCAGCCCTTGGACAGATGTGTCCCACCTCAGTGCCGTTTAGCAAATCACAACACGGGAAGCAACCTCCACGTGGACACACGTCGGAGACCCAGCCACAGGGGCCCGGTGGACTACACTGTGGTTCACGCCCCCGAGGACAAATGACTGCACACAGCAACATGCTTATGACAGATGGAGAAGAGCCAGAGGGTCTTTGCAGAAGGTTGTCACCCGTTGGGGGGTGGGGTGGGGGTGGTGGAAGGGACAGAGAGAGAGAGAGAGGCAGAGAAAGACACAGTGGTGGTTTCGACAGGCATGATGGGATAGGTGTGATCTGCCTATTTCCCAAACTAAACAGTAAATACCACAAATCTCAACAGAGCTGTAGGAAGAAAAGACACCAAGACATTCAACGTCCTCCTGATCCAGCCCCGCCCATCCAACCTCCAGAGTCCCCGCCCCCGCCCCGCCCTCACGCTCAGCTTCAGGCCAGCTCGGGACACGCTCTGTTCTCCAACCTCTGGGCCTCGGGCCCAGGCAGCTCCTTCCCCCACCCAGCTGTGCCCTCCCACCCTCCCTGTTCAGTCTCAAGCACTTCCACAACACCTAGCAGATGTGCTATGGAGGCAGCTGGATGGACAGCGCCGTCCCTGTCTCCCATGACCCCGTGGCAGGCCAGGCCCAGACCTCCTCCCTCTCCTCTGGGCCGCACGGCCGGTCGCTCCGGGACGGTGAGTGTGGGAGGGGGCGGTGCCTGCTTTGGGGGGGTCGGGGCTGGGCAGACTCTCAGGTGCCCTGGAGGTGGGGCCGCTGCCGCCCCAAGTGCACCGGGCTGTGCCGCGCAGTGGGCCAGGCTCACCTTCAGCGCTGGGCAGGGAGAAGCAAGGCCGGCAACACGGGCACAGGGCACAGGGCACAGGGCAGAGGCGGGTGGACAGGACTTGCCTGACCAGGGGCGCGGCCCCTGCCTGCCCCTCTGGCTCCAGTTCGCTGCACATCAGGCCCAGGCCCGAGTGTGGGAGGGGAGGGGGAGCGGGGCGGGGCAGGGGCGCTTACCGCGGAGGCGCTGGCCGAGAGAATGTAATTACGAGGTCTAGTCTCCTGAAAGTCAGGCACCGTCTGGCGGGGAACAGAGTTCATGGGGGGAGGGGGTCATGCGGGGCCGGGGCCGGGCCGGAAGGCTGCCCTAGACCCTCCCATGGGAGATGCCAGGAGCCCCCGACCCCACGGACAGGAGGGTACAGACAAATACAACACGGAGCCCCCCGTTTCTCCCCAAGCCAACCACCTGCGGAGGAGGCGGGCCGAGGCGAGTCCAGACCAAGGTTACGTGGGTGGACATGCCTGCCATCAGGGCCCTTACCTGGGGCAAGCCACAGACGGGTCCAGCCCCTGGCCCGGCGGCCACGGACCCTCGTCCCCAGGCCCCGGCCTCACTCAGATGCCCCAACTAGACCCACCGTCCTCCCAACAAAGCCCGCCCCACCCAGCTCTCTCCGTCCAGAACCTCCACACACCACGTCTCTCGCTCCTGCAGCAAGGACCAGGCCCCTCTCCCCACAATGAGGATGGACAGACGGATGCATGGATGGACACAGTGACAGGCTTTCAACATTTGCAAAAAGCTGACTCACAGGCTCCAATGCCTGGCGTCCCCCCGAAGCAGAGGCTACACATGGTAGAGCCTCCAGTGGGGAGACCAGCTGCTTGCAAAACGCCCCGAGGACGTCCCCGGCCGACCAAGGCCGAGATGGGCAAACCAGAAGCAGCACAGCACGTGGGATAGGTATACTCACATCTCCCTCACACTGAGCCAAGTTACCCAAAGCAGAACAGAAAGGAACAAAAACAAAAGAGTTAGTGAGTCCACAGCGCAGGCGGGAGCAGGCCCCTGGGGTCACACAACCCTGCCCTCTGAAAGGAGTCCTGACACGTGTGTGTGTGTGTGTGTGTGTGTGTGTGTGTGTCTGTGTGTGTCTGTGTGTGTGTGTGTTGAGAGGGGTAGGAAGGACGGGGTGCACTGCTGGGCTGGAGTCCTCTGGGATGCTGTATCTGGGCTGCCAGGGCCCAGCTCGGGACGGGGTGTCCTGCCCAAGCCACAGACTCTGGGCCAACCAACTGGAGGGGAGGTCGTGCTGTCCCAGTAACTAAGGAAGGGCTCCCCTGCCTGGCTGATGTAGGAAGAGCTTGTCCTGGCCAAGTTACTCCAGAGAGGTGGTCCACCCCTGAGTGGCGGGGAGACTGTCCTGTCCAGGTGACTTAGACAGACATAGGTCATCCTGCCCAAGCCAACAAGACTCCAGTGGCTGAGCCCCTGCCTCCAGTTTGGACCCCACATAATTGGATGAGCCGGGACCTTGCCCACGGCTCTCGCCAGATGCACTGCCCAGGCTCCGCGGCCCCAGGTGGCCACACTGAGGGAGGGGAACGTGAGAAGGGCTGGAGGCTGGAACTCTCAGGGGAGCGGGGAGCCCAGGCCGGATGTTTCCACGGCGTGCCCTGGACCCGACCTGGGGATTCCCTCCCCAGGGCGTGAGGTGGCCTTTCGGGCCCTGCACCCCAAGCAGCCTGGCCACCCTCAGGCCCAGCTCTCCCAACCCTAGCCTAGCTCTGGTCAAAGTGTCCCACACTGTGTCCCATCGGCCTGGCTGAACAGGCCTCCGTGAGCCGAGAGTGAAGGGGGAGCGCAGACAGCCCAGGCCCTACCCAGTGCCGTGGGGCTCCCAGAGGGCCCCTCAGACACGCCCCTGGGCAGGCGGGTGGTCCAGCTCCGGGGCCCTCCGCACCACCACAGGGGAGCCTGAGCACAGGGCACCCTGCGACCAGCGCTGGAGCAGCAGGTGGGGGAGTTAGTAGGGGGAGCCATGCCCGGGCAGAGCCGGGAACAGAGCCGAGCACCCAGGGAGGGCAGGGCAGGGGCATGCAAGAAGCCAACTGGCTGTCGGTCTGGGGAGGCTGAGGGCCGCCCTGAGCCCAGGTCGGGGCACTGCTGGTCCGCCCACCCCATCAACGTCTGCCCTGGGTCCCAGGGCTCTGGGCCGCCAGGGGTCCGTTGCAGGTGGGGCAGAGAGGTGTGACCTGAAGTGGTCAGCCCAGAGCAGCAGCCCCCAGCCAGGCCTCTCCAGGCAGGGACAGGGGAGAGAAGTCATACCAAACACCAGGTCCCTTCACCCCCTCCTTGGCTCCAACCAGGACCGGTGGGGGGGGCGGGCAGGAGGCCGGCACGACACCTACCGTGGCTTTGGCTTCTGCGGCCTTGGCCTTCTTCAGCCGTGCTTTGCAGGCATCCAGGTCCAGACGCCGGTTATGGAGGAGCCGCCTCTCCTTCTGAGGGGGTGGGAACAGGGAACAGTGAGACCTGGGCAGCCCTGGGAGACCCCTGGCCCTGGCAGGACCAGCCCCCAGGACCATCTGGTCAAGACGGGGAAACTGAGGCCTGGACGGGGGGAGTCATCCACTCCAGGCCACTCAGTCCACAAGAGCCATGTCTGGGGAGGTCCCAGGAGTGCTGGGTCCCAGCATGGGCTCAGCAGCTATGAGGAGGGCTGCCACCATCACCAGGAAGCAAGTGGCCCCAGGCCCCTCACCGAAATCGTCTTCCAGTCCCCTTCCAGGAAGGTGCGCAGGGGTGTAAGGAAGCCGATGGAGGCCGTGTGGATAAAATCCCTCTCGGCGGCTCCCAGGCGCTTTTCTGCTTCTGCCACCTTGATCAGTGTCTTTCCTGAGAAACAAAGTGGAGGGGTGAGGAAGAGGGTCGGGCTCAGGCCGCTCTGACCCCCAGGAAGTAGGGGAGAGCTCAGAGAGAGATGTTCTGAGAGGCAAGAGCAGAATGGCTGGCCTGGGAAGATGTGGAAAATACATATCCATATACCTATCGACAAATGAACAGTGGGACGCCCGGAGAGCAGAATGCTACACAGCCATTAAAAAGATGTGTGTGGGGGGCAGGGGGGACTTCCAGAATGACAGGGTAAGGAGCTCAGCAAATCCTCTCCCCAAAAAGCAATAATAAAACTACACACAGGGACTTCCTTGGTGATCCAATGGTTAAGACTCCACGCTTCAACTGCAGGGGGCCCAGGTCCAATCCCTGGTCGGGGAACTAGATCCTGTATGCTGTGCAGTGCAGCCCAAAATAAAATAAAATTTTAAAAAAAGAATATCCTTTTAAAAAAACCACAACTGGACACAGTTCTCAAAAACAACGATTTCTGGACTCTGGAAGTTAACCTAAGGCAAATAACAAATTGAGAAGCATTTATTCCAGAACTTTTGGACCTTGGTAAAAACAATGGAGCCTGTGGCTTTTTGGCCTGGGGGTACTCCCATCTCCTCAAGCTCTGTGGTGCTGTAGCTCTAGCAGGGTGGGGCAAGCCCTGAGGGGGCTGACTTCATTTGGGCTGGAACACAGAAAAACCCATGGGACAGGACCACAAACAATAGTGATCTCAATGGCAAATAATCAGGAACATCACAGCTAACATGAAGCTGGAATACTGGTTGGAACAAGCAACAGAGCTGCCGGAAATTTAACAGGAGATCTGGGAAATGAGATAGTCATAGTGGGCCTTGATGAAATCCAGATATCTCTGGTGGTCTGGAAGGCTATGCGTGTGTATAGCACACTTGGGAGAGATGGGAGAGTACCCCAGCCATCAACTCATTCCTGGCTAGTGGGATGCTTTGCACATTCACAAACTAAAAGCTGGGCAGACATGTAAATTGCTTGGACTTTGAGTGTGTTCCCCAGCCCACTCATAGATTCATCAGTAAAGCCTTAATGGTGCAAGATGTTTAAGCACAACCTCTGATTAATCATTGGCTGACCACTAACATATGCTGACCTGGAAGAAACCCCTAGGAAGCTAGGCTTAAAAATAAAAAGGATAATTTAAAAAGAAAAACAAGTAGACATCAGTAGCTGCACACTGCAGAGAACACAGACTCTAAACAGTTAGCTCAGGCAAGTCTCTAAAGAAACAAACAAACAGCAGTAATAACTCAACAAAAATTACAAGACATGCAAAGAAATAGGAAAGTACGGACAGTACACAGGGAAAGAAAAGCAATCAACAGACACTATCTCCAAGGAGGCCCAGATATTAGACCTAACAGACAAAGACTTCTAAGCAGCTATTACAAATAAGTAAAAAACAAAACAAAACCCTGACGGTGGGGAGGGACAAATTAGGGTTATGGGATTAAACTACTATATATGTAATAGATAAACAACAAGGATATAGGGACTTCCCTGGTGGCGCAGTGCTTAAGAATCCTCCTGACAATTCAGGGGACACAGGTTCAATCCCTGGTCTGGAAAGATCCCACATGCTACGGAGCAACTAGGCCCATGTGCCACAACTACTGAGCCTGCGCTCTAGACCCCACAAGCCACAACTACTGAGCCCACATGCCACAACTACTGAAGCCCGTGTGCCTAGAACCCGTGCTCCGCAACAAGAGAAGCAACCTCGATAAGAAGCCGGTGCATTGCAACAAAGAGTAGCCCCTCTCTCCACAACTAGGGAAAGCCCACGTGCAGCAATGAAGGCCCAACACAGCCAAAAATAAATAAATGAATAAATTTATTAAAAAATAAAAAAGAATCCACCTGCCAAGGCAGAGGACACAGGTTCGAACCCTGGTCTGGGAAAATCCCACATGCCACAGAACAACTAAGCCCATGTGCTACAACTACTGAGCCTGTGCTCTAGAGCCTGCGAGCCACAACTACTGAGCCTGCATGCCACAACTACTGAAGCCCATGCACCTAGAGCCAGTGCTCCGCAACAAAGAGAAGCCACTGCAATGAGAAGCCCACACACCACAACGAAGAGCAGCCCCCACTCGCTGCAACTAAAGAAAGCCCGTGCACAGCAATGAAGACCCAACACAGCCAAAAATAAATTTTTTAAAAAAAGGATATACTGTATAGTGCAGGGAATTATAGCCATTATCTTGTAATAACCTATAATGGAATATAATCTGCAAAAATACTAAATCACTATGCTGTACACCAGAAACACATATTATAAATCAACTATACTTTAATTAAAAAATAAAAAACCTAATAGAAGCAATGTTTAAAGATTTAAGGAAAGTATGATCACAATGACTTCTCAAATAAGGAATGTCAATAAAGAGATTAAAACTATAAAAAAGAAATGAAAATTCTAGAGTTGAAAAGTATAACAACTGATAAGAAAAAAATCACTAGAAGGGTTCAACAGCAGATTTGAACTGGCTTCTTATCAGAAACAAGGGAGGCCAGATAGTGAGAGGATATATTCAAAGTGATGAAAAAACTCTCATCCAAGAATTTTATATACAGCAAAACTGTCTTCCAAAAGTGAACACAAAATAAAGACATTCCCAGATAAACAAAGGCTAAAAGAATTCATTGCTGGCAGACCTACCATAGAAGAAATACTTCAGGTTAAAGTGAAATGACACTAGATGGTAACCTGAATCTACATAAGGAAATACAAAGCAGCAGTAAAGGTAATTATATAGGCACATATAAAAGACAATATAAACTTTTTTCTCTTTTCTTAATTGATTTCAAAGACAACTACATAAAACAATAATTATAAAACTGTGTTGTTGAGATATAATGTGTATGACAATAATAGCACAAAGGAAGAGGGCGAGAAGGGAGTTATACTGGAGCAAAGTGTCTATATTTTACTGGAATTCAGTTAGTATTACTCCAAAGTAGATTGTGTTAAGTTAAAATGCATATTGTAATTTAAATTGTAAAACCACTAAGACGGACTTCCCTGGTGGTCCAGTGGGTAAGACTCCACACTCCCAATGCAGGGGATATGGGTTTGATCCTTGGTCAGGGATCTAGATCCTGCATGCATGTCGCAACTAAGAAACCCACATACTGCAACTAAAGATCCTACATGCTGCAATGAAGATCCTGAATGCTGCAACTAAGACCTGGCACAGCCAAAATAAATATAAATAAATATATTTTATAAAAACCCACTAAGAAAGATATTTAAAGTAAAAAAAAAAGCAACAAAGAAATTAGAATATTACACTAGAAAATATCTATTTAACTCAAAAGGAGGCAGTAACAGAGGATCAAACAAAAAACACCTGAGATACAGGGAGACAATAACGAAATGGCAATCCGACCACATCAACAATTACATTAAATGTAAATGGATTAAACACTCCAATCAAAAGGTAAAGACTGTCAGATTGGATTTTTTTAAAAAGATTCAAATATATGCTCTCTATAAGAGACATACCTTAAAGACATAAGTATGGTGAAAATAAAAGGACAGAAAAAGATACATGCCCCTGTTTGCATATAACAATATGAGAATAGGAGTGACCATAAGAGAACAGGAGTGGCCATACTACTATCAGATAAGCAGACTTTGAGACCAAAAAATGTTAACTAGAGACAAAGAGTAGTATTTTACAATGATAGAAGGGCCAATTCATCAGGGAGATATATAATTATAAACATACAGACCTAACAACACAGCTCCAAAATACATGAAGCAAACACTGACAGAATAAAGACAGAAATACTTCAACAGAAATAATTGGAGACTTTAATACTCTCAATAAAGGATGGGGCAATAAGACAAAATCAACAAGGATATAGAAGATAAACAACACTATCAACCAAGATGGCCTGACAACACTACCCTACAACATAAAGTACAATATCTAAGTGAACATGAAACATCCTCCAGTAGATACCACACACTATAGGCCATAAACAAGTCTTAACACATTTAAAAGGATTAAAATTATGCAAAGTATGTTTTCTGACCACAGCGACATTAAATTAGAAATCAACAACAGAAGGAAACTTGGAAAATCCATAAATATCAGGAAATTAACCACCACCCTGCTGGTGGGATGTAAAATCACACAGCCACTTTGGAAAACAGTCTGGCAATTTCTTAAAAGGTTGGTGGTCCAGTGGTTAGGACTCTGCACTTTCACTGCCGAGGGCCAGGGTTCAATCCCCGGTTGCGGAACTAAGATCCTGAAAGCTGCACAGCACAGCCAAAAATAAAATTAAATTTTAAAAAAAATGTTAAACATAAATTTACCATATGACTCAGCAATTCCACTCCTAGGTATATACCCAGTAGAAGTGAAGACATACATCCTCACAAAAGTTCATATGCAACTGTTTAAAGCAAAACAACCCAAATGTCTCTCAAATGGTAAGTGGACAAAGAAAATGAGATCAGCCCATACAGTGGAACACTCTTCAACAGTAAGAAGGAATAAAATCCTAAAACACATTATAACATGGATGAACCTCAAAGACAAGCCACGTGCAAAAAACAACATATCGCTTGATTCCATTTATATGAAATATTCAGAAAAGGCAAATTTACAGAGACAAAACCACATTGGGATTTCCCTGGTGGTCCAGTGGTTAAGAATCCACCTTCCAATGCAGGGAACTTGGGTTCGATCCCTGGTCGGGGAACTAAGATCCCACGTGCCGCGGGGCAACTAAGCCCGTGTGCTGCAACCACTGAGCCCACGCACTCTAGAGCCCATGTGCCACAACTAGAGAGCTCACATGCCGCAACTACTGAGCCCACGCACTCTGGAGCCTGTATGCCACGCAAGTAGAGAGAAGCCTGTGTGCCGCAATGAAAGATCCCGCATGCAGCCAAATAAATAAATAAATTTATAAAAAAACGACAAAAACAACAACGAAAAATAACAAAG